GACGCGGTCATCGTCGTCGTCGTCGTCGTCACCGTGGTCGTCGGCGTCGCCTGCTTTACCCTCCCTCCAACGCTCCTGTCATCCCTACCAACGGCACGGGGGCTGGAGACGACATCCCCACCAGACGACAGACGCGCCAACGCTGCAACAACAGAGAGGAAGAGAGATGGCTTAGAAACAGAATCGTACGGATTAGCGGATGTGTTGGTGACCCTGGACAAACCAACCCCACCGAATACGCTTCTTTCTGGGTATTGCGCGGAGCTGGAAAGTTGGCGCGAGGATGGAATGTGGGCCTGATTGGTTATACCGTAATAGGAACACCTATTCGAACATGTACTTTTCTTATTGGACGAGACGGTTTAATCCACCGATTTAATTGCATACGTAGTATCTTGTCGGTGAACGGGGATACCCGGGAAGTCTGCGACGACCAAGCATCACGCTTTTCTTACGCCTTTATTTATCGTGTCGTAGCGGATTCGATATTATCGCGCGCGTTCACGATCGACGCTATCTTTAAATCGATGAAACAATACGTGCCTTTCGGCGAGCCAAAATTTACGAATATATCTACATCCGACTCTGTTCGTATTATTGACCGTACGAACGAAGATATCGACGTATTGTCAATATTTTGATCCACCGAAGAGACGGTTCGACGAATCTGCAAATACTTTTTCCTGCAACGAGACATCGTTGGGCGCTGTCTCGAAATTAAATGTATAGTCGATAGATATAGGACGCGTACGAACAGTACATCAATGAATACATATTAACAACGTCGAACCGACAAGCGTCGTGCAGTGTCGCTGACGATCGTTACAGGACTTTTCGTATATTTTATTTAAAATAGTTCTAATAAAAACAATGTTGTGAAACATTATCGTATTAAAAAATGAATTGTCAGGACAGTTTCGTTGGTACACTGGTATAATTAGGGGGTGAAAACTGTCAGAGTCCTAAAAATCGAAGACAGTCGCAGGTGTCTGACGGCTAAACGACCAGCGATTGTTTGGTCCATTTTGTATATGCAGCCACGTATATTACGTACACCTTGGAATAAGTGACACGACTGTCCAAGCCGTAGTCGTGTGCGTAGCCTAGCTCTAAATGTGGAGGTTTCAGGAGCGTGAAAGGTGGGGACAGGCGGAGCAAACGGAATACCCCTCTTGCCCCTATACAACACCGACTTCCGCGCTCGCTACTCTGCCTCCCACTCTACTCGCGCTCCGATACCCCCGCCCCCCACCTATACCCCTTCGTCAAGCGTGTTTCTGTCCTTTCGTTTTGTTCCTGTCGTTCGCGGCCTCTAGTCAGCCTGTTCGGTTCTCTCTACTTACTTACTACTCGTCCCGTATGTCCTCGCTTCCGGCTGGGCTCCAATCGATAGTAGTAAATAGTAAGTAAGTAGATATTTTTCTTTCCGCGCCAAGAACGTATCTGCGCTTCTATTCGATGCAATCGAACGAAAACATTTTCGAAAAATTGAATATCCACTCGACACCTTTCGAAATCGTAAGTAATTGTTTATTATTTCGAGTAAAATAATGTCGAATGTTTTCGAGAATGCAAACAAAAAATAATGTAGGAGAAGAAATATCGAAAATTTGCGATGTTCGAAAATTGGAAAAGTCCAAAGTGGGTTGACGTCTGAACGTTGAACAATGCCTATAGCCGAATGATGCAGAAGGTGTGGGTGCAACAATCGCGATGGAGTTTCACGAGGGAAAACGCCCGCGGACACGGTGTTTCCCGTGCGGCGGCCCCCCTTTGCTTTCTCAGAGACACCGACACCACACTCTGGTATATAGTTGTCGGAACAGCCATAAGGTCTCGAGGCGCTTTCCCTCCAGAACCGTCACGCTTTTCGCACCTGACGATTCCTATCTCGGGACACGAAAGTTTATGGGCCTTCTTACCGCGCAGACACGCTCGACGATGCTATCGTTCCCGGGTTTCGCATACGACGAAAACATTAATCGAAACGGTGCGCGTTAATCTTTCTCCCTTCTATATCCGCCGCTTCATCGATCGTGAATTTATAGACTGGTCGCGATTAATCGAATAACTCGGCGGAAGGTTAACAAGTTTCTTTCGTGAATTGCCGTGATTCGACACTGAACCGTGGACGATGTATCTTTGACCCTCCTTGATTACTAGCGACACCTGTGCGCATTCGATCTTGTCTACCTATAACAGGTGCACTCGAACGATCTATACACTTTTTCCTAGCAATCGATAATAATACAATTTTTTCGAATTTTATATACGTTCTTTAGATTCACGAATCGAAACCTACGTGTATACTTGGAAATATTTATTTCTCGTCGAAAACGTGTAAATTATATGGAATAAAACTGTAATGAGAATCATTAATGGTACGATCGTTTCATATAAAACGCAAGTCGCGATTCGCCGTTATATGAAAGGTTTCGTTTGTATTTGATCGACCCTCGGTACAATACCGTGACCGAAATCCGGTGAAATTCGACGGACGGTGAGTTTCGCGTCTCGCAAAAATGCGATCCGCAAATCCAGCTAACGCAACCGACAGCTGTGTACCACCCTTCCATCGACGTTCGTTCGGCGGAAAATTCGTTGTCGCGAACAACTACCATGGTGATTCGCGGGAAAAACATCGCCATGTTGGGAAAAAATAAATTGACGAACGTGCTTCTCTTTCGACGTAACAACCATTTTGTACGATAAACGAGAATTTCATAGTACAGGTCAATTTTCATGCTTTTCAACTTACTTTCATTCGCTTTAGCGCATTGTTCGTTAAAATAAATATTAAAATTAATTTTATTAGTTACACGAATACGTGTCGAAAATTGTTAAAACTTTTCTGCTTTTAACTGAAACTTATCCTGAGAAACATATTTGGAATTTGAAATTTCTCAGCTGTAATCTGGTACTCGGATCGATGAACACCTGTTCCTGGTGCCCTCGCATCACATAATCCTTACTAATTGCATATATTTACATTTTTATGACATCTATAACACAACTCGGTGAAAATTTCAGAGTGATTCTCAGGAAATCACAATAGAACGTAAGGAAGAAGGGATTTGATTGGAGGGGAAATGTTCTCTTTTACCTTACCTCTCTCTTTCTGCTTCCTTCCTGTTATTTATCATTGCTATCCAACAGTTCTTGACAATGCCTACTTTACGGCTTCTCTTATTAAATCGCAATATTAATTCTTCGATTTTTACCTACGTACATATGTACACACATATGCATAACAGGAAATCTGAAACCGTGATAAATTATAACACTAAAATTTGTGCAACTTGAACTACGGTTGACTCGAATCACTAGTTTAATCGAAACGCGAAAACCGAAGAAATCTCGGGTAGATCGATCGAAACTCATTTGAGAAAAACGATTTCAATGTCCGTTCGTTATAAGGGTTCCGACGACTAGGTGCCGAGATCGTCATCGCGGTTTAATTAAATCGAAAATCGAAGAGTCATTAATGACAAGTGGCGCCCAATCGCGATGACTTCGTGATTTCTATTGATCCAAAGAGTGGGGCTCGCAGCGAGGCGAGGGTCAGACCGCTCATGGAGTCACAAACTCGCCAAAGGGCTCGATATGCCACCTATAACAACGACATACTATCGTTTTTAGAACTTATCCACTTATCTTCGATTACGTCGCTCTTAACGCTTTTTCATAGCCGACTGTAACACGTTACGCTTTTTACCTAAACTTTTAAGACTAATTTGTCGTTCCTGTTAGTTGGTCGTATAACAATGTCGTTGGACAATTTATAATTCGGTAACGATAACGTATCGGTGATGTTGATTCGGGATATCATATTTTGGATATTTTGAAACGCATCCATGTAACGTTATACGCAGCGAAGAAGCAGCGATCGGAGAGAGCTGCAACTATGCTTGTCATTGCCCGCTTTTAATCATTCGATCGCCGTTCTAAACACCATTTTCTATCTCTATAAAGCTTCCGAAACAAAAGTAACAGAGAGAAAAAAGAGAATTCTATCGGAGATCACACGAACCGACGCATCAGCGTCGAGTCCGATAAAAGTTTCGACGCGACGCGCCTCCGTGCTTTTCGAAAACAAAAATCCTGACGTTGGTTCGCGTGCTTTTTGACCTTTAGACAAAAAATAAAAAGCTGTGAAAGCCCGACACAACCCGGAGGAGGATAGGCAGCCACGAAATGGAGATTCGAGTGCATGCATACATAACCGGCGGGGTGCAAGAGGACCCGATGATGCCGGGACGTAATATCAATACGCCACGAAGGCAGGATAGTCGCGTCTGATTTTCCGAGCGCATCGGTACGTGGATAATGTTTTAATGGAGTTTGCGGAGTGCGAGGAGGGCAGCACGGTCTCCACTCGGGCCAAGGGTGAACCCGCCAACGGTTTACACACCATTTACTCGCGCCCTGTAACCTCGGGAACTGGCTGTTTACAATACTGTACAAACTGTGCTCGCGTCGACGCCGTACTACCGATCATCTCCTTTTACCATCCGTACTTACGTTCCTTCTTCCGATATCGCGTACGTCGAACGCTTCGATCGACGAGTCGAATCGTGGGATCGAATGTCGCGTAGACGAAGCCTCGACGGAGAATTCTGCAGGGACTGTTTTCGCGACTTCGGGAAATCTATCGGGAAGTAATTGGTAACCTTGATCACGGTATGATATAATTAATCGATCGTGCGCCCGATCACAACTTTTCTATATGGATTTATTGTGGACGCAAAATCGAAAATTTGAATTCGTAAGCTCATCAAATTATTCGATAATTATACAACGCATAATAAGCGAATGTTAGAATTTCTGCGGTATCGCCCGAAGCTACGCAGAAAATATGTACATACATATATTCCCGAAAGAGAAAAGGTTTCCTTTCGATTCTGCCGTAACTAATACAGCGTTATCGCGCAAAAGAAGAGGATAGACCTCTTCTTTTAGAAATCCATGCAAATGCTGGCCGATCGTTTGACGAAAAGTCGAATTTCGTGGAGCTTTGTCTCAGAACCGGTCTCTTTTGCGCCACCCTCTCGGGACTTTTGTTCCATTGTTCGACGAAACCTGTCAACAGCTCGGTCACGCCGCGTTTTCCGAAAAGAATTCGCGCTTCCACGGTTATCGTGC